GCGTTTTGTTGGATTCGCAATAACTTTGAGTGAGATTGTTTTTTGAAACAGGAGTATATAGATTTAAAAATTCATATTATTTCTTTCAGATTTTAAAATTATATCATATCAACACATGCTTTGCTCACCTCAGAAACTTCATTACTTTATGAGATTTGGTGTATATAACAAATAACTTTTGCATGCATCTTAGCCGTTATATTGTTGCTCGTTTTTTTTAATAATGAGCGTTCTGAAAATTTGCACAATGTAATCAAACTTACAACCAATATAGAATGAAGCCAAATGATCTATTGCATTGACACATAAAAAGGGTGGTGACTTTAGAGCCTAGCCAACCCCTACCAAAACATTTTATTTTAGCATAGATCCTTGTTCAACTCACTAGTTAGGGTTTCAAGTTTGCGCTGAGTTGTCAAGTCGACGACCTCAGCTCAATGAACTCAACTCATTCCCTCAAAATCAGATCACACCATATCATAATTTATTCTAAACAGATTAGAATCAATCAAATCAAGTGGAGAGAACATGACCTATAACATTGGGTTATAAGTCTACATACTAGGGCATAAACAAGGTGTATAAACACCCAAAAGAGATGTGCAAAGCAATTGCTTCTTTGACACTCTTAGAATCTTCTCTTGTAAACAAATATCCCATAAGGAAAATGTCAAAACAAAGTGTACAATATCCTTCAATTCAACTCTGAAAAAAAAACACAGCCTCTACCAAGTACCAACAAGAATCTCATCAGGACTAGATTTTTATTCACACATTTTTTTTTGGGATTTTTCTTTCTTGAGTTAAAGCATATCCTAAAGAAAACAATGAACTAACCTCGGAAAAAATGCCTGGAAATATGAGTTGGCCTCTTCTACACGAACTCTTCTGAAATGCACAGCATAGTTACAACACTTTAATCATGATTATAATCAGCTAACCTACACTTGTATCACAAACAATTTCATGGAACTAATTTACAACTGTGTCAGCTCCTGCTGGTTTTCCATGGCTTGTCTAAGAATCAACTCTGCTCTCCTCTTCTTATCGTCTTTGATGTTATTATCATCATCTCTCCTGAACCATGATGCTCCTGCTCTTGCAGAGCCCTTGTTCCAAAGCCTCAAATCCAACGAATCGCCTAAAACCTTCTTACCAGGTTTGAACTCCAAACAAACAGCAGGTCGTCTTTTGTCTGTACCATTTCTTCTATCGCTTCCAATTTCACTCTCTGAAATCCCATCTTTCATTGCTTCAATTGCTGGAGAAAACGTCTCCAGTAAAGAGCCACGGCCGATGGTGGAGAAATTGGCAGGAAGGGCAATAGAAGACACATCTTTCTCCCCAGCTTGTAATGTCTTCGCAAGGAATGGGTTTTCGCTCTCATCATTTTCACCTGTAGACTGCTAGGGAAAGAAAGTAGAAAAGAAATATTAGAAGGAAATTTGAAATAAAGAAAATATGGTGAATTCAAAGAGTAGGTTGAACTGTTAGAACTCAATAATATGATATATGTATTCGTTGATACTAATTTTAGGCATTGTTTGCAAACAACTTCTTGGATGATTTTTTAATGGCACATACCAAACTCAAAATGCTATAGCTTCAGTATATGAATTAGCCTTTTCAAAACGCTGAAGTTGTTACAAAACAAGCACTTTTGCGTTTTTTTTCCAGAACCAATTATAGGAAGTATTCGATTTTCATTTTTATCTATTTTCCCTTTCCCTGGCATTTTCAGGACCCAAACATACCCTTGGTTTCTGTGAACTTGAAGCAGCTGGCAATCCATAGCATAACAGCCGCTGCTGCAAATTCAAGAGAGACATCTCTGCCTTCCTGCGCTGCCTGACTAACTCAATTTTATCATCTCGTGGATTGGACTCCCTCTCGTTCCATGTAGCAGTATGTATATATGTGTGAGGGTCAGGAAATGCAGGCAACCAAGGTGGGATATGGTTAGCCTCTGGTTTTTCACCCATTCGCTCAAAACTAGGAATCATCTTTGGCACATTGATCACTGGAAAGCGTGAGATGGGCTGGGCAAAAGGAATGTCCTCTGAATTATCAACATAATCAACAATCTCCTTCATAACACCAGAATCAAACCTGCAACTGTTTACCTCCATGAACCCTGATTGTGAACCCAAATCCTCCAATCCACTGACTATATCAAATATGCTACACTCGGATCTCCCAGATAGATTGGCATAGAATGTGGCAATCTTTCCCAGGTCAGAAATGTACCTTACTGCAATTTCTGAGAATGAATCTATAGCCGATTCAGTGGAGCCCTCAAACCCCACACTCTCACATATCTGAGCCACTGCGACTCTCGAAATGGCACTCCCGAGATCCCGTGAACCCGCCCGATTAATCCGTGCTTGATCTTGCTCTCGTTCTCCTCTACTCTCCACTCTACCTCCATCACTCATATTCAAATTCCTGAATCATTTACGATTCACCACTCAAAATCCGACCAATCAACTAAAAAATCTCAGCTTTCAACAAAATCTCTACTGCAGTTCAGCAAACCCTAGATTCAACGATGAATCCAGAACACCCCCAAAAAAATTAGCTACGCGACGACAGATATCAACAGTTATGCGTATCAGCAGCTCAGAATATACCCATTACGTCAGTTCAATCAAACACTTACCGCGTGCTGGTATGAATTCGAATCCGAACTAAAATCCGCGTTTGAAATTGCATACGCAGACTGGATAAGAAAGAATAAACCCTAGAAGTTGAAGATTTGGTTAAGCCAGGGTTTATGCATAGAACTATAAACCCTAGAAATACTGATTAGCTAGAAATACCGATCTGGCTGATGAAATGACCTCTGAAAAATGGATCCGAAGAGAAAAGAGGAGATTCGGTGGTGGAGGAGGAGATTATATAGGATGTAGGAAGTAAGCTGATGTTTCGGTTAATTAAGTTCTACCCCTGTTTTTAATCGTAATCACTAAGAGGCCATTTTTAAAATTCCCAAAAAGATTTATACCTTTCAAAAAAATTGTGTCCCACAATCTCCTACCCATTTCTATTAAAAAATCACTTTTACCCCTTATTTTTTCAAACCCTACCTATCACATCATACTTTTTTTCTAATAATCTACACATCACATCCTACTTTTACCCATCACATCAAGGGTATTTTTGGAAAGTCAACACAAAATTATCCTTCTCTTAATTTCTACTTTAGTCAAAATGGGTAACACTTTATGGGACGGAGGGAATACTTAAATACTCACCGGGCATCACATCGGGATAGAGAGCCTCCTTTGAAAATAGCTCTACAGATTAGCGTTAGCATTTTAAAAAATTTAAGTATGAGTAATGTTTTTAAAGTAACATACACCGTTAAACTTTTATCCAAACGCTAACACTAATTTCTATCATTATTTCTAAACAAATCCAAAATAATGAAAGAATAAAACACGATACAAATTTGAGTCTAATTTTTCAAGAAATTTTCTTGTACCCGGTGCACATAAAAAGCTACCCGAAGTCTTAAATTAGCTAAAATTCTCAAATTGTCGTTGTCGAGATCAATTTTGAGGCTTAAGATTTAGAGCAATGCTAGGGGTACACCAAAGGTGTACCCATTTGTACCTCACCCTTTTTTCCATCACACATATTTATTTGATTTTTAATTATATATTTATTTTTAAATTTTTTGCCCATTTATGTGGTGGAGGAGTGGTGAGAGACAAAGGTGTACCCCTAGTATTTTTCTAAGATTTAATACTCTTCTCTCAGAAATCAGAATCATATGAACTCTAATATCCTTTTTAAATTTTCTAATTTTCATTTTGAATTGATACTTTTTTGATATTTTATCTGTCTCAAAAATGTAGAAAATGATGATTAAAATTTGTTTGAAAGAGAAAATACTCCCTCCGTCCCACTCTTTTTGTCCACTTTCATTTTTGCACACCATCCAATGCATTTCTTTAATCCATTTTATCTTGTAATTTATATATTAAAAAATTATAAAAATTATATATTAATAATCTACTTCCTCCGTCCCAAAAAGATTTACACGTTTCAAAAAAATTGTGTCCCACAATCTCCTACCCATTTCTATTAAAAACCACTTTTACCCCTTACTTTTTCAAACCCTACCTATCACATCATACCTTTTTCATAATAATCTACACATCACATCCTACTTTTACTCATCACATCAAGGGTATTTTTGGAAAGTCAAAAAAAATTATCCATCTCTTAATTTCAACTTTAGTCAAAGTGGGTAACGCTTTATGGGACGGAGGGAGTATATGTTAAGACAAATCAAACAAGATCACACATGACTATTTTTAGACTTACACATTGAGAGAATTTGATCAGTCAAAGTGTTTAGATGAACAGTTCCAAAAGTTAAAACTGGACAAAAAGAGTGGGACGGAGGTAGTATTTTGTACTCCAAATGTGTTTTTTTTCCAAAAAAGCAAATTTTTTAGAATGAATAAAAAACAAAAATAAGAAAAACAATTCGGCAAACCAAAATAAGAAAAACTACTGCCTCTGTCCTATAATGATCTTCCCGGTTCGCAAAACGAAAAAAAATCTCAAGTTTTTTCAATCTATTTTATTTAAATATTGGTATAGAAATAAAAAATAAAACATACATATTTAAAAACTACACCAAAAGTTCAACAAAACAAGTGGTGACAAGAATATTTTATTTTATCATATAGGCCATGAAAAAACATAAATAAATATAAATTCCCGTGAAGTTGGAATAGTGCTCTGGGAAGATCATTATAGGACGGAGGGAGTAATTTTTTTTAGTATTTCCCNCGAAAAAAAATCTCAAGTTTTTTCAATCTATTTTATTTAAATATTGGTATAGAAATAAAAAATAAAACATACATATTTAAAAACTACACCAAAAGTTCAACAAAACAAGTGGTGACAAGAATATTTTATTTTATCATATAGGCCATGAAAAAACATAAATAAATATAAATTCCCGTGAAGTTGGAATAGTGCTCTGGGAAGATCATTATAGGACGGAGGGAGTAATTTTTTTTAGTATTTCCCAAATAATTGGAAAAACAAGGGTAAAATCGCAATTTCAACCATTGTTGTGGATTCTGACATATGGGGAGAGAAGGAAAACAGCCACACAAAGCACGCCATCATCATCATCAAAGGGGGCTGAAATGGAGAAGTATTTCGGAAACCCTTACCGGGGCGACCCGGGAGTCCCGCACTCCGACCCGTCTATCTTCTGGAGCAAATGGATCGGCGGCGCTGGATTCTCTGCTATCGCCTGGTTCAATCCTTACATGTGGCAGCTCACCAATGAGTACAAGTACGCTCATAAACCCTAGCTCTGCTTAGAAACTAAGATCAGTAATCTTCATTCCGGAAACTGGGTCATTGTTTTCTATCATTTGCAGCTTTCTTGCCCAATTTTCGTTCTTCGAAGGAACTTCAATCTAAAAACACTGATCAAGTTCTGTTTCTTGATGTATTTTGTGAAGTCCACTTCGTTATGGTGATTGGTTGGTAGATAGTGTAGTCTTTTCTTGTTTATTGTGAGTAGCTAATGGATTTTGATGCACATAAAAGGTTGAAAAACTGTACTCTTCATTTGAAATTTATCTTTGCGTTTGTTGTTGTTGTTGTTGTTGTAATAATGTCCTAAGGCCAAATGCTACTACATCAATAGAAGTGTGGGAAATAGGGAGTATGCATGGACAGTGGTTGGGTTAATAAGTCCAAGTATTTGCTTTGAATGGGTGGTTTGTACGGATCTTACGCTTTAGAGGTTTACATAAGTGTCTACTGTGTCTATAAGTCTATAACAATTTGAGTCTCGAGTAGTCTTTTTATTGAAAGTGTTGGGTTGCAAATCACATTTTTCAAGAACGGATAGCATTAATCTTAGCGCATTCACATTGGTGGCACTCAGTGGCAGGGTATTAAGGGATACACTACGGTTCCCTTGACATTGGGAACCCATGTCATGTGATGACATCTAAGGTGCTCTGATGGCTCTGAAAGTGGTTCCTACCCCTCAGCCCCCTAATGCCTCCTCCCCACAAGGCATATTGGGGGATGAGGCATTGGGTGACCACTTCTGGGGCCATCGGAGCACCGTAGGTTCCCGATGTCATCACATGACATTGAGAACCAATGTCAAGGTAACCAGGATCTAAGGGATATATTAGAGGAGTCCACATGACACATCATGACTTTTATTTGTTTGGCTTAACATTTTCTCAAACGTTCATCTCTTGTGACTTCCATTACATCACTTTATGTAGAATTTTTTTCATGAACTAAACTATTTTGCATCTTGCATCATGGTGTGAAATCTAGATTGTATTTAAAATTCCTCCATTTCTTCTCCTTAATATCAGTTCCACAATGTTCTGGAATAATTTTGAGTGGTGAATATTAGGGATAATTTCCTCAATGTAAAAGCTCCACAATGAGCTAAAATGGATATTTCTAGTACGGAGTATAAAATATGTGACTTCTCAATATGGTAATAATCTTGGGACAACAAAAATGGCTTGGGCAACAATTATTATTTTAGGACAGAGTGTGTATTACCTTAAACATCATACTCAAGCTTTTGTTTATACTTCATAGTTTGGTTTCTGAAAAATACATTTGTTCTTATAGAATAAATGATTTAAATTTTCTTCAGGTTAGGAAATTGTCCCGAAAGTCCATAAAGAAATGTATTTCTTTGTTAAAACCATATCTCAAAATTGTTCCTTTATTAACAGTGACATTCCCAAAACACATCTGTTGGACACTTGGACTTAAAAAAAGCCCCGAGAAACACTTCAGGAAGGAAAACATATCTGAAAGACAGATACCCTCCATGATTGTTCCTAACTATCCATGCTTGTTATGTTCTTGAACTCTGATTGGTAACCTTACCATTCAAAAGTATCTCGTCTCTTTTGGCAATTAATTGTTTATGTTTGGTATTTTATGTAGTTGGCATGATCGCGCAATGCTTTTTGAGCATCATCACTGGAAAGAAGCACTAAAGAAGAACCAGCCGTATGAGTTTAAGGTACTATATTGTATGTTTTACACTCTGTTTGGATCCAGGAAAAGAGTAGGAGAAGAAACTAGGAAGTGAAATGCAGGGAGTTTTTGAAGGAAGAAATTATGTGGTAAAACAAATAATTTGGTTCAAAGTTCAAACTCATTAATGTACTTTCATTTTTTAGATCTCCCAAAAAGATATTCTTACTTTCATCTTTTGCAAAAACTTCCCAATATACCATCGACAACTTTTTCATTGATTATTCCACCCCTTTTTCTATACCATCCATCTTTGCAAAATAATTTGCGCAAAAAAGAATGCCGAAAATCCCTTGAAGTCAAAGTGGGCAAATCATTGTGAGATGGAGGGAGTATATATATTACATAAAAACTAAGAAATCTTAATACACACATAGAAAAGGTCAAGAAGCTGTTTTGCATAGTGATTTTTTTTGTTTCCTTGCCATTTTCTGTGTTCCAAACATAGGCCAAGCAGAAGTGTTTCTTGTTTTTGTCAAAGCGTTTAAGCCTCCGATGCATTAATGATCTTTTTTTGTTTCTTGGCAGTGGAATCAAAAGTCCAAAGAATTCAGGGAGTCGTACTACTTCAACTGGCCTATCTATTTTCCATAGGGAAAGTATCTGTCTCTGTTAGTACTATTGAGTTAGGATTGAAGGCATTTTCTTTTACTGCTGTGATGGTTATTCAGTACATTTTGGCATTTCAAAACTAATTATGTGGGAATGATTGAAGATGACCATTTCAACCTCGTTTCATACTTTTACTCTATATTTTATGAATAAAACACATTATTCTATAAATTTTTTCGTGTATTTCGGTGGATTCAGGCAAAATAGTCTCACTAATGTTCACATCTAACGGGTATACATATGGTTATGACATTGGTTATGCGCACCAACGTGTCTGTTTTTTTAATCTGATACTTAATGTGTATATTGTGACACCGAGGTGCGCAAAAATGTGTTCTCAAAGATGAATGATGCTCATATTGGCTACGAACCAACATTTGTAACCTTACTATATAGAATCCTCGTAAGTAGATGATCTACTTAGCATTTATCAATGGTTTGCGGATTGTCACTTTGATGAAACAATAGCTTTGGTATGTGCATTTTGAAAATATCTGTTATAATTCCTAGATTTTTTTTTCTCCACCCCATCCCCCACGCGTGCCCCTGTCCCCCACCCCATCATCCATCCCATACAGTTTCCCTCCCAACTCACCCCTGCCCCCTACCAACCGTCATCCCTACCTCGGCCACACATACATTACTACTTTCATCCACCCCTACACCGCCATCCCCACTCCTCACCCCCCCCGTCCACACCCACCCCATCCCCGCCAACCATACCTACCCAAACCCAGCATCCCCTTATCCCCACCCATCATCCTTCTTCACCCGCCACCAAATCATGAACCCTATCCAATCACCGTAAAATGTTTTTGGAATATTAAATTGTCTCAAAACATCTTTTTAAATATTAAAACTTTTAAGAAAATACTACCCTTCCTACCAAATAGAGAATGAAAAAAATTATTTTAGAACTCATAAAAATAGAAAGTAGAAAATTTGTGCGATGGAGGGAGTGGTGAATACCCGAGTACTTGATTACACACATACGCAGACAATCTACTCCGTATTAAAGAGTAGTACTTATGATCTATATAGTTCAGATAAATGCAGATTATTAAGAAACAATACATACTGCATATATAATTCATATCTACCGAGTACAAAAAATAAAAAATTTCAATCTTGCTCTCAGCAGGATTGAGGAATTCATCCAAACATTATTATGATTTGTTGGATTGCATTACACTGGTATGATCAAAATTGTCTGCATAAAAAAAAAAAAACAATCCAGTCAGTCATCAAACGGTTGGCCGGCGCTCAAACTCACCAACCCCGGCAGGATCATCACTGCGAGGGGGAAGAACGTCGATCCCGGTGACCGCCGCGTGAGGTGGTCCCCGCCTGCACCGCTCTTTCATTTCCAGAACCTTCTCGCGGCTCCCTGAGAACAGCGCTTCGACCGTTCCATCCCTCTGGTTCCTGACCCACCCTTTCAGCCCCAACTCCTTTGCATTCTCCACTGTCCAGTCTCTATAGAACACACCCTGCACCCTCCCCTTTATCACAGCTCTAATCTGTACTCAAAAAAACACACACTTTCCCGCATCAAATATAACACGTCATTCAAGTAAAGAAAGGAAAAAAAAAAGACATAATTAAAGGTTGGGATCAGTGTACCATAGGAGCTTATTTGTGCAAGCTATTTGCAATATCATGTGAATATACTTTGTATTCACAATACCAATCATGCTAGATATAAAAAAATGCTAGGGGAACCCCAAACATTTGACACCAAATGCACACCAAGGTGACATTTAATGTTGTGTGTCTGCATTTGCCTTGGTGTACATTTGGTGTCAAAATCTCGAGGCCCCCCTAACACTCCACGCTACGTATATCACAAAGATGGTACCCCAACTTGTACCTCAAAGATTAAAACTTACGTTTTAATGTCCAACAGGATTGTAAAACTTCGCCCAGACATTTCATTGTGTATCAGTGTTAGGCATCAAAGTGTAAGTAAGTGTAAATCTTTGTGATACTAATGGTTTTATTGAGAAGAATGTTAGGCGTACAATTTAGGGTATCTTCTAAATTGCCTTGAATTTTTAATGGATTCCATATATTCTTGAGAATTAGGCGAATCAAAACTCGAGTTTGTTTCCAATTATTTCAATTCTAGGCAATGTAATTCCTAGTAATTCAATTTCAACCACTAAATCAACCCTGTTGAAGTCTATCCCACATCGGAACTTGTAGTGAAAATAAATCGGTATATAAGCTCTTGAGTTGAACTAAGTAATTGATTGGATTCAATCTTTTAATGTGGTTCAGCCTAAGTGTTTATTGCTCAATCGAGTTATCCATACCCCATCCTAAATTCTTTCATGGTATCAGAGCCAATTTTAGTCCACCTCGTGGCCAGTTGTCCGTGTGGTTCAGCCCAAGTGTCTTATTGCCCAATCGAGTTATCCATACCCCATCCTAAATTCTTTCAAACCCAAACGAGGCCTTACGAGTTATCCCTAAATGTTCTGCATCGGATCAAATCCATACACTTTGAGGAGGAAAGAAGAACTCACAGTTGTGATATCCGAGGAGGGAGGAGAGGCGGCGGCGGCGGCGGCGTCGGTGGACATGGGAGATGGCAGAGGAGGTTCGCGAGATCTGAGGAGGAGAGGAAGGCAAAGGCGGAGAGGTATTAAGGAAGGACGACGATGAGGGACAATTGTTCTACTAGTTACCGTATTTCTCGCGGAGGCGATGAAGCTCGGCCGCCGCCGCAGCCATGGATGGGGATCTAGATGGTTCCAGATGATCTGGGTTTCAACATATTTGATGCTAATACTGTTGCCATTTCACTCTTTTGGCTCATTTCAGAATAAAAGGAATGAACATTATATTATTCTATTAATTTAAAATAAACATTATTAGGTATTTCTATTTTTATTAAAAAAAAATTCTCCAAATAACAGTAAAAAAAAAAATTAAATGAGCCCAACACATGATATTGGCATAGAGCCTAACTCATTTTTAACATTTTTGGACCCGCCCTGGAACTTATTTTTTTATCTTAAAATACTTAAGATTTTTATTTTAATATTTTCATAAATTTTATTCTCGCTCAAGGAATTAGGCTAAACATTCTCCATAATTATGTTTTTTTCTGTTGAAAAATCCTTAAAACTGTAGATACGGAGTATTTAATACGGAGTAGTGTTTTACTCCGCAAGTTAAAAAAGAGCACGCAAAACCGCAAAAATTATATGGAACGTTATAAATAGAAATTTCCAAGGTTACATATATTGCAATATTCTAATAAAGAAAGTTCCAAGCACGAAAACAAAAACTAAGGTTGTTGTTATTGCTCTTATTAGGGAGTACTTACTTTTGTCTAATAAGGTCTAGTTTTTTTTCAAAAGCGTGTATTTGTTTTAATTAAATATTTTAAGATTCCGTTTGATACAAGAAATTTAAACTATAAAATTGAAATTAAAGACAATAATTTCAATTCTCTTGCTATGTAGTGTTAGAAATAAATTGGAATTGAAAAATTCAATTCCATCTAAATCAGTTTCTTAAAATTTCAACCCTTAATTCAATTCTAATTCCATCAATATCATGTAATAAATATACTCTTTATTCCAACGTTGACAAATACTGGGTATTGCTATATCTCATTCGATCCATTTTGAATAAAAAAGTAATAATGGTCTAACCATCTAATATTTACCAAAATAAATTATGAACTACCCTTTGTCTCAAATCAAATTCTTTATTTATTATCTATATGCTCAAATTTTTTTCACTTTATTTTACTATTTACATTAGTCATTTGATAAAATAATATCACCATGTCATCACTATTTTGTACGGAGTAGATCTTTTTGATATAAATTTAAATATATATTTTTTATTAGAAAGTTAAACATCGCAAAAGGAAAAATTAGAAAGTACTTTGTAATTAATTAAGAGTAAAATTTGCCTGCAGTACATTGAACACTTTTAGTTTGGTTCATAAACCTCATTTACTATTATTAAAATACCTTAATGTGATCAATGCTTTCATCAACAAAGTTTTAGCAGGTTCCTGGGTCACTTGCACGTTATTTCCATCTTTATTTATCATCTTTTTTTCTTAATAATTTCAATCTTTTGGAAATAATAATAATAATAATAGAAAATAAATTAATAAATACTTGCAAATAATATTAATAATAGTAATAATAATTGATAATGGGGCCGGATTAAGGCTTGAAATATGGGCCAGTAATGTGGGCCGAGGTCAGGCTTGAAGAATTTCAGTTATAGAGCTAAATGGTTTGGCCCGAAACCTGCCCCTTGGCCCAAAGTTTGATCAGGTCCACATGCAAGTTAAGTCACTTAAGTGTCGAGAGCCTTGATCCAGTATATACTTAAGTATAAGAAAATGAAATTTAAAAACTAAAGTGGAAAATTATTCAAAATTTAGGTATAGTCTCACGTTAGTACGGAGTAAAATTTACCCAATTAATTAACCTTCTAAAATAGTTGTATAATTAAGCATTTATATAATGCAATTTAAGTTTCGGGAGTGAAACCTTAATACTCCCTATTTTATGGTGCGTAGCTATAAAATGGTACTTCTCCTATCCAAATACAAATCGATATTTGACTAGAGTTACTTTAACAAAATTTTGTTGGCCGGGAGTCCATCCACCATTCCACATCGAAAAACCCAAAAACACACCCTCATAAAAAGAAAAGTGGAACTCTATCCATCCATTGGTTTCAATTTTCTTTGTTGTCTAAAAGTGAATACAAATTTTATACTCCCTCCGTTTTCAAAAACACTTCCTCTTTCATTTTTTCCACTTCCAACAAAACACTTCCTTTTTTATTAAAAAACCATTTTTACCCTTACTTTTTCATACCCTACCTATCACATCATACTTTTTCTCTAATAACCTATCCATCACATCTTACTTTTACCTATCACATCAGGGGCAAAATTGGAAATCAACTATAATTTAACACTTCCTTATTTTTCCCCAAATCCAAATGGGAAGTGTTTTTCCAAACGGAGGGAGTATAAAATACTAAAATCTTACCCGACATTTCACCCGATTCACCCAGATTCTATTCAATTCATTCAAATACTTCTAACTATGAAGAGATTGAGATAGTAGACGAATTCATCAAAACAACTTTGATTATATTATTGATAATAATTATAATAATAATTGCTATTATTGTTATTATTTAACTTTATTGCGATACTTTTTTACTAATTTACTCCGTAATAATGTACTTGTATTTTAATTTTCATTATATTTGTTTTTTCTTGAGAATAGGAAAAGTGATACGTACAACAACATCATGCCTACACTATTGATCAAAGTTTTGGTTTTCAAACTACTCCCTCCGTCTTATAATGATCTTCCCGATTCGCAAAACGAAGAAAAATCCTGTTGGAGTTCCCACATCGGAAAATAAAGATAAGTATCACTTGCATATATTGAAGGGTGAAGCCCTACCTATCAGCTTAAGCTTTTGGGTTAGAATTGTGGATCTCGACTTTATATGCAAGTGGTTAATTTTACCCGACACTCTATCCGTTGTTCTCGGCCCGCCGGAATTTTAACATGGTATCAGAGCAGGTCCGGTCCGGGTTTGATTGTTCCTGGTTGTTTGGATGTGGGTTTAGCAAAAATGAGCTACCCGTATGTGGTTTGGACTGAGTTGGCTAAAAAGAGATTGAGATGCCACCGCCAGTTGTGTGGGCTAGCTATAAGAGATTGAGATGCTTGACCCGTTTGTCCAAGTGCTAACTAGGCCAGGCTAGTTACCACTTGCGGGGGAGTGTTGGAGTTCCCACATCGAAAAATAAAGATAAGTATCACTTGCATATATTGAAGGGTGAAGCCCTACCTATCAGCTTAAGCTTTTGGGTTAGAATTGTGGATCCCGACTTTATATGCAAGTGGTTAATTTTACCCGACACTCTATCCGTTGTTCTCGGCCCGCCGGAATTTTAACAAATCCCAAGTTTTTTTAATCTATTTTATTTAAATATTGATATAGAAATAAAAAATAAAACATACATATTTAAAAACTACACCAAAAGTTCAACAAAACAAGTGGTGACAAGAATATTTTATTTTATCATATAGGCCATGAAAAAACACAATTAAATATAAATTTCCGTGAAGTTGGAATAGTGCTCTGGGAAGATCATTGTAGGACGGAGCTGAGTGCGATCCAAAGTCCTTTTGTAAGGGTTATAATTTGTGTTACGAAGTTAATGCTGCGAGATTCGGGAGCACGGATGATCCTGTTGAACTAGTGGGGAGTTGTTTTGAGCTTTGTGATAATATTATGAAAACTAATTGTATCGATACTGCTCTAGTTTGCCCATGTTATCTTGACAACCCGATGTGTCCGAAAAATAGAGTCACGAAGAATACTTGATGTTCTACTATAATTTAAATAAATATATTCTTACATTTAGAATTTATCGCATTATTTGAATTGAAAAATTTAGAATAAATAAAGATTTCCACATAATGTGATCTTTTTGTCTCATTAAACTTTCCCCGTTGATAAAGAGTGTTAAATCCACCCATCTTTTTGCTAAGTCTACTCTATTTGTCAAAATGTGAGAAATTTATTCTTAAAGTGTAAAAACAACAAAAAGCAACATGTGGATTTATTTAAGGGTAGAATTAGACATTTGTCACAAAGTGGTGGATGTGGCAAAAAGAGGAGTAAATTTAGCAATACTCATTACAAATTGTGAAATTTGGAGAATATGTAATTTTGGTGTTACATTTAAAGTTTACATTAATTATATTATTGAGTAAAATAAGATGTGATATGTATATTATTATACGTACATATATAGAACATAAGAGTTGGACTCTTTATATAAACACAAATCTGTAAGCTCTCTGATAAACAAACATATAAAACTCAACTTAAAATTTTGGACTAAAGACTCTTGGGATATCATCATGCTTTTTGCAATAGTATTACAAAATACAAATGGACTAAAAATCTTTCAACTTGTTCCAATAATTTCCAATTTTTTGTAACTTTTCAACTTGTTCTAATTTTTTCCAAGTCTGATCTTTACCATTTCTCCCAATTTAAATCTTTCAATATCTTCCAATATTTTCAAATATCTTTCAACTCTTTTAGTTTCATCTAACTTATTCTGATTCTTTTCAATAGTACTTATAAAAATTTTTGCATGCATTTTTCATATTATTATTATTATTATTATAATTATTATTACAACTTCTATTATCAGAACGGTTCTAAAGCCACTTGCTCCGGGGTGGGGGTCACCGGGATGTCGAGGATAAGAACCATTAATTTTGTGAACAGTACACCGTAGATACTTCAATTGAAACTAGTGTTGTTTGGAACCACCGTACTTAAAGTGAGTGGATGTAGAACTTCTGTGTATTATTATTATACGAAATTAACCATATTACATGCAAATACATACACAACAAATAAACAATAATATTTTTCATCCAAATTTGTAAAAAAAATGAAAATGTTTAACTTTAGATGCAGAAAGTATGAGAAAGTATATGATATTTTTTATTTCAAATACAAACCAATTTAAGTTTTAAAATATTATAAAAAACAATTATATATGAAAAAAATCCAAAAAAATGATACTCCGTAATATGCACTGATGGCGCATGTAATATATATAATGATTGTACTTCTCATCTCAAAGAAAGAAATCATAAATGCACAAATAAATTTTTTTCCCCCGTTTTACATATTCCCAAAAAAGTTGTACATACATATATAGAGTGTAGGAGCTTACCTTGGTAACATTAAGCGGCCATATGTGATGTGCGAGGGGTGTAAACGAATTGAATCGAAGCAAAAAACAAGATAT